AAGCGTTCTTTGGCTGATGAAAGGCCGACCAAAATCCTGGAGCCCAACTTTCGACTTCGGTGTCCAAAGCAACTTGGCTGAGTTTGAAGAGTTGGACCAGTTTTGCCCGGTACAGCCACAACAATCATGACAAGTGCAAGAGATATGATCCTGCTGATGCAAGGTCACGTTGCACGCTGGTTTAGAAGCTGTCGAACCTTGTCAGCATGCGAAGTCACACTGCAGGGCACCCCAGTAAGTGCTTGAACTTGGAGAGATGGTACCTCTGAGTTCGAAATCTGCAGATGATCTTCAGAAAGCCCCAGAGTTGAAAGACAGCAAAGGTCCAAAGGAATGGTCGACTGGAGACTCTGGTGGCTATTTCTGCAGCTTGGTTTGCGGATTCAAGTTGGACGTGTCCAAACAGACCTGGGCCAACCCCATTAATCTATGATATAATCTATGATATACATAGATTCACTTTACGATTTTAGGGAGACCGACATCATTCGCCTCCGGTGATCCGACAGCCCAGTGGGCGCCACTCTCAGGTCACTCTGACAAGGGCTGTAGACCGGCTGACCAAGGGCCATTCCCTGTAGAAGACTGCAAGGACCGACAGGGCTCTGAGGGGCTGACCGGCTTCAGTCGGACACAAGATGGTCCTCGATTTGGATTTGTGCGAAAATCATCAAAGATCCATTAATGAAAGTTTTAATTATGATACTATTATAAATATATTTATAATAGATTATAACGCCTTTTTACATTCTGGGAATCTGGATCTCGGCACCTCTAGGCTCAGTGCTCCATCGGCAGTGTCTACGTGCCAGGCGAAGATCACTTTGCATCGGGGTGTACGTTTAGTCATGAGCAGCTGAGAGAGAAATCTACCCGTTATCAAAATGGTCAAAGGCAACGCGAGTTAACTCTATCCCAATTGTCAATGCAATTGATAATATCATCAGACAATATCATTATATATATATGTATATCTGAATATATCAATCAATACATACATATATATATATATAATAATTATATATATATAGGTATCATGTAGCCACTTTTGCAGCCAGCACCAAGTGGTTTCCTGGACCAGGTGGTGGTGATGTCGCTGTAGCGTGGCCGCAAAGCAGGATCTCATCTCATCAAGGTCGAGGTGTTCTAAGATTTTTCAAATCTTAAAAGGAGGTCGTATGATTATGATCAAATGAATCAAATGTGTAGACTCAGTGTAGACAGTGTAAATAGAGATAGATGATATGCACATCAAGTTATCTGACTTGATGTGGCTGTTTAAATACATACAGTATACGCACAGTATATCTCAGATATCTCAGTGGATACACTGCAGAACTTGGCTCTCCTGGACCACCTCGCCTCAGGTGCCCTACGACTGTCTGCTGCATGTGGAAAGATGGAAGAGCCACTGGAGCAACGAAAAGAAGCGCTGGTGCTGTGAGCACTCTGAGGAGGGTCAAGTTGCCTGTGGAGCAGAGGAGCACAGAAGCCGACAGCTTTCAGTTTTTGCGGGTTGGATTGGTTTTGATTTGTAAATGTCTTTGATTCCAGTCTGATAAGCTGGAGTGATGGAAATGGAACGGACTGTCATGTGACCCATGCTGAGCTGGTAGCTAGCGCCGATCCAATTCATATTGACATGATTAATTTTCCCAGCCTTTTTAGATGACCCCTCAGCCGATAGCTCTGACACTGCCATTGTGAATGCCCGACAATGATTTGTTGCCCATGATGCTACAGCTGTTGTGATGCTTCTGCCCTTTATGTTGATGCACACGCTCAGATGACGTGGGTGATGCTGTTGGTAGGATGATACGGATGAGATTTAGATTTGTTGAGTACGATGCATGTGGGTTGGTTGGAAGTGCAGCCACAAGTCAATACTGATTGCGAATTCCTGCTGTTCGTATCTGTTTGTATTGATTTGCTTGGCCAAGACAGCACCTCTCACAGGAGAGTTCAGTTTCGTCTGGCTCCCTTCGCATCTGTCCAAAGCATCTGAAGACTTCATGTCTTTCTCTCAGTCAAGTTGTGATTGCTCAGTATGACCACCCTGATCAATGCCATCTGCTGGGCCAGATTCATAGTTTTCTGGCTCGAGCGGATTGACTCGCACAGTCTCAGTATTCAGCAGTTTTCACACAATGGGGAATATTGAAAGTTCCGTTTTCGGTCCTGCTGCCTCTTGACTTTACTGTGGTAGTTGTACGGCAACTTATACTCTGAGCCTTCCTACCTACAAGGAAAGAGTGTCAGTAGTGACATTTCCACAACGAAGCTTTGCTCTTCCAGGCCCAGATGCGTGGCATGACCCAATTTCTGACGAAGGCGGCTTCTATTGTGCCCTGGCAGCGCTTGAAGATGAAAACTGCTATAGGCAGCCACAGTCAGTCAGTCAGCCACAGTCAGCTACCTTCTGACCCAAGCATCTTTCAATCAACTATCAGGACACTGGAAGAATTTGATGATACCTATTGATATCTGATTTTGAATCACTTGTTCTTTTCTCTTGCAAATGCTCGACTACATGCAATCAGCGGGATTCATGTTTTATTTTGGAATGTTTGGTTCAATATATTTATGTGTGCTGCCATCTTCTGCTATGTTCATATCGATGCAAAAACACACCACTTCTCGATATGTGATCTTTGCATACGGATTGTGAAATTTGGTTAAAGAATTGGCGACATGAAAATTCGAAATGGTCAACATCGACACCTGTAATTGACTTCGAAGACAGGGATTGATCTAGTGTTAGTAGAATGATTGGCCAGGATACGGGACCTGTTTTATTCGTACTACAGGTTAGGTACCAACACGGAGTGCATTTTTGATGAATGAGACAAACGGTGGAAGGGCGAAATATTTTGTTTTGCTTTCAACGACTTTATCAGTGCAGGTTAAGATGTGATTCTCCAATGATTCGCTGACTGGAAAAGTACAATTAGAGAGAGAGAGAGAGAGAGAAAGGGATTTTTCTGAAGCATGGAATCGAACATGATGACTGAGCTAGGCGTGTTGGACACTTCTGGGAAAGAGAAAGAGCAAAGGGTTCACCCAAAGAACTCATGGAAGAACAACAGAATTAAGCCAGGTGACATTGAGAAAACATGGAGGAAACCGCGATTTTAGCAGGTGACCGTGGTTTATCCATTTAGCTTTAGAAGCCGTTCGCCTTGGCCACACTTTAAGAAAAGACGGAACCATGTGATTGGCATTGATTGGCAGGGTTGTCTCTTGGCAACCCCAAACTCCAGTAGTTACATAATGTTATCATCATTTTCCCATATTTTCCCCATTGAAATAATGCTGACATGGCCATTTCGGGCATTTTGGGCATCCCGGTATGTCGCATATGCCCAATTGGAAAGGGATTGGTGGGATTGGCGTCGTGCAAGTCGTGAGGTCACGGTGAAGGGGCCACCCAGGGTGGTTGTCGTGAGAAAACACATGGGCCATTTCCCTTGGAAGACTGCAAGGACTGCAAGGCATTGGGGCGAATAGATGCGAATAGGGCTCCATGGTCAGATATGGTCAGTGTGAGATCAACGACATCTACAGATGTTCATTTAAAGTAGCCGCTGTGACAATCCGTTGGCAGATGATTGCTGTGTAGTCAGTCTATCAATGTCATGCCCATCCAAGTTTTGGTGGTGCGCAGGGCTCTCACTCACTCTTTTGACTAACATCTTCAGGAGCAATGCTATATTGGCAATGTGCGGATTTCAGGCTGGGCAGACTCTTTTGGAAGTTTGAATGGTTGATGGTGGCTGACAGACAGAGAAAGTGAAATGCAGAAGAAACAGATATCGAATAGTTTACTGTAGACGAGAATCAAGTGCTGTATGTGCTGTTGTGTACTAGGACCAGAGTGCACTTCAAGTGCCTCTTTGCGACGATTACACATGCCTTGAAGCATCTTAGGCATAGGCTGCATAGGGTATAGTCCGGCCAATAGTATGATGCATTTCGTCGCTAGTTGGGCAGTACATAGGCTTTATTTTATCGGGCTTCTGGTGAATGTGCCGGGCTAACATGTCGCCCCATTACAGCTACCGAAGTTTGGCCTTGGGAGGCTTCCTGCCAAAGCCAGTGCTTTCCTTAGTTCAAAATGTTCAAACTTGCCGACTTTCAAAACTAAAGATGTGGAAAATAGAGAATTGAGCCAGCGAGATTGCACAGAACCATTTGGACATCTTGGACAACTTGGACAGCCATGCGAGAACATCGAGCTAGAACTTGGATGGCAGACTCAGCCTGACGACCTGACGACCAGGTCTATTGGATTCTGTCGGTTTGCCAGCGGTTTGTCGATGTTTTTCTGAGGTTCTTTGGGACTGCCAGCGGCACCTTGATCATTGGGAATCGAGTTGGTCCAAGGAGCTCATGTTTTGACACACTGGAGTCACTGGACACAGAGTTTGCCTCAGATTGGATATGTTGGATTTGGCAGGAGAAGCAACTTTGGTGTTGTACCCATGACAGATATGCGCGGGAAGTATGTGGCCACATTTCTGCCACTGGGAATTTCAGCTGGGAACAGTGTGTTGGTTTCTTGTTAGTTTCTGTTTCAGAGGTGACTCAGATGACTCCGTGACATTGTCAAGGTGAGTCACAAGCTCGTGACCTCATGCGATGCAAAAACAGCCGGGGGCATCCCTTGTGACTTTCCTTTCAAGTGGAATGGCAAAAAGCTGCTCGGATAGCAAGGTTCAGGGAGATCTCAGAGGATGGGGATCGCGGCAGAAGTAAATTAGAATTGTTTAGCCACGCTTCGGTTCCTAGCCGAGTCTTTCGTTCAGCTTAATGTGTCCAGTCTTGAAGATCTTTTTGACTTTTGGCTTCTGAAGTACTTCATATACAGTACATACTTTGTTTGCATCGAACGGATGCTGTCTCCAAGGCACTATTCGTTTGGACCTTAGGGCAGAATGGTGAGGCCATTCTTCAGTCGGTTGATAGTTCCGTAGCTCTGACAGAGCTCAGGTGCACCATTGATGACGTCCAAATGGGAGGCCGGTCGCAGCCGCGCCATTTGTAACGGCTCAGAGGGCACTCCCGTCAGGTCAGCCATGGTGTAGCCGTGTGGACGGCACTTGGGCAGACTGCGACTGCCAGGTGCGTTGCAAATGGAGTTGGTGTGCTGTATTTCAGCAACATTTCAACAGGTTTCAAAACTGTTTCAACTTATGCCATTCTGTGCATGCTTATAGCAGCAGTGCAGCAGAGCGTGAAGATTAGACTGAGGCTCAGGCTTGTGAATTTTGCAAAATCGTTTCACTGGTTGGTGATAACACTATGTATACTTCTCTAACTATCAACCTTGGCAGCCATATGTTGAGGGAACAGCAGTGGAGATCTGTGTTTCACCTGTTTGACTTGCAGGGCTTCGGGTCGCATGTGTCCGGGTCCTGCACACCTGTCATTCAGACTAAACCTACACCTGTTGCTAGCTTCACTGTTCGAGCAAAGGACTTCAATGCTATTCAATACATTGTTCAAGAGTCACTTGCAACAAGTGATGTAAGGACATCACCAGCAAAAGAGAAGCCTGTTTATCTCAAGAATTGTTGCAGTAATGACTATTAGGGCATTCCGCAACGGAGAGCCTTCCTTGGCTTTTCCGGGGCAATGGAAAAGGTGGAAAAGGCCATATCTCGCGAGAGCTGAGCTGAGGATCTCCATCGATGTGACCCATGTCCACCAAACATTTCCAGACGTCAGCCACCTCGATGAAAAGGAGGACATGCACTGGAGACCGCAGGTGGGAACGAATGGGGGCACGAGGTGACTCTTTATGACTCTTTGCTTTGTCATTGTTGTCATTGTTGTCATTGTTGTCATTGTTGTCATCTTTGTCTTGTCGATCTTTCTGATCTTTGTGATCTTTCTGATCTTTCTGCCATGGCACTGTCTTGGGGCTTGCCGACTTTCACCATGCAGCAGCACCTGTAGCATTGTCCGACAGGGAGTGGTGGAAGGCATCGACACTGCCATAAACTGCTCGAAGAAGGACAGGGTGTTGGTGGCGTGGAGGGGGTTGGGTAGGTAAAGGCCTGGTGCTTCCCCATGTGAGATCCCACACTACACTACAGGAGCAGAATATGACGCAGACCAAGAAGCAATGGTCGGGGCCTTATGAGCAGTCGCTGAGCATTCCAGCCGTGCATGCTGACATTGCTCGAGGGTACTTCCAATGTCAAGCCTTTGGATGACCATCTCTTCCAGGGGAAGTTTTCAACGACCCTGAGCAGCCAGCATTTCTGATACTGTTTCTTTGTGCAACCTCAAAACATCCCAGAAGCAAAATTGCTTGAAATACGCCTATTCCATCAGTGTTACAAAAAACATCACTTGCAGGTGCTGTCAAGTAAGCCCCAATTGCACGGTGAATGTCACGGAGTTTGATTGCCTCGCTGGTTTGTCACAATGGGTGCGGATACCCAGCTGCAATCTTGATACAGTCCCTGTCTTGACATGTCTTGACATGTCTTTACCGTGTTCACCCTTGGCCTTGGGTGCACCACAACACACACACACAAACACACACTGCAGCATCTCTTGTTTGCATGTTCATATGCATCATATGCTCGCTTGCTTCTTAATGTGACTGATTTTTGAAAGGAGACTGATTGGAGCCTAGAAAAGAAAGTATGGCCGGGGTCCTTAGCTTTTAAGGATGTGGGCCACCAACAGCAATGCAGCATACAGCCTTAAGTTGAGTCAATCAGACAACATGTGTGGCGTACTCAAAATGCAATCAAAAGCCTTTCTCTTTCAACTTGCCAACACTTGGTAACACTTGGAGTGTTGCAGAGTTGGTCCAAGTTGGTCCCAAAACTTGTGTAGCAGACGTGGCAGGGATCGCAGTCTCCTCCAGGTGCTGGACCTCTGGTGGACATCACGACCTCTTCGACTGCGCAGATGGCGTTGAGAACGCGGACTGCGGGGGGAGTGGTGACTGTGGTGTCACATGGTGTCACATGGTGTCACATGGTGTCACATGGTGTCACATGGTGTCACATGGTGTCACATGGTGTCACATGGTGTCACATGGTGTCACTATTTTCACTTTTTTCATCTTTTTTCCCCTTCAGTGCAACAGATATCACTTGCCTTCCCACTCAGCTTGTACTAAATCCACTGGTCGCTGGAGCAAATCCTTCCTCCAAAACTACTGTAAGTTTTTGAAGCATTTATGAGCTTTGCAAGCCTCGTCCAACACCATCAGGGAATGACTGTAATCATAGCCCTCAAGACAGACACCTCCAGGATAACGGCTGGTCCACGGACAAGCAAGACTGGTGCGCTGATGCTATTGCAGTTGGATGCCCTTGCTGTGTTAAGGACTTTGGGGAGTTTCTTCCAGTTGCTCAAGCAAGTCCACCAATGAGATTTCTCTTCCGTTTGGAGGTGCTGTCGCAACAAGCAGTTGGGATGTGCTCCCTACTTCGATTGTGACAATGGCCTCGAGACGTGGGTAGGGGACCCAGCTGGTGAACCCTGTCCAAGAGACAGTACCTTCATCTACCTCCACAATCTTCATTTGCGTCATGAAACGGCACATGTTTTGCCTTACGAGAACTATCGAGCAAGCGCCTGCAATCTAGTTTTCGACAAAGTTGGACCAGACGGGATCGTTTGTTTGAATGTTTATTCTTTCAATTCTTCCAGTGTGAAAGTGTGCAATCTCAAGCTCGCAAGCTAATGGATTTGCTGAGGAAACCAGTTGGAACCTCACCAAGAAGAAATGGCTTGGTGCCGAGAAAGGCTGTGCGTGGCATCTTGTGGGTGGAAACCGTGGAAATTATTGAAAGTAGACGGAGTCGGGATCAGTCGGGATCAGTCGGGATCAGTCGGGATCAGTCGGGATCAGTGGAGCAAGGCCTGCGGAAAGTTTGCACGACCTGAAGCTCTAAGACTCAGAAGATGCTCTAAGGTGTTGGGACCATGAGCAAAAGGGCTACCTTCATCCTTACAGATGCGAGGCCGCGTCACCCTCCTGTCACGTCACCTCAGGGGGTTAGCCAACCCGACGCCCAGGGTACCTTTGCTGATCAAGAGAAATGGCCATCGGCCAAGCAGGACCAGAGTTTTGGCAGATGATTTACAGTACGTACATGTAGATTATGTAGATATGAGTTACACACTTATTCACATGTATGACACAATGCATATACAATCATAGCACATATACTATGCAATATAGTGTACTCACTTTCGCAGAGGAGTACTTAGAGATATCAGCGGCCAGAGAAACAGAGGCTCTACATTGAAGGAGGCCTTTTGCATCCCCCGCAGGACTGGTGCTGTCAGCACATGCACAAAGGTTGCATGGGAAATTACGACTGCAAGGTGCGCCTGCTTCTGTTTTAGCCTGGTGTCATAATGTCATGGAGACACAGGTGAGCCAAATGAAGCCTGGGCTTGAGTCTATAGATTATTAAGAAAACTTTGTATTTTCTATAGACTCGATTCCCCCCAAAAATGCAACAATCGAACACTTCCAACTTGACGCTGCCGTGAAGCCACGAGGAAAATTATGACACGTGGCAAGTGCAGTGGACGGCAGAAAAGTGCCGGACTCAACCTACGACATGTCAGTGTGCCTAAGATCAGACATGTTGAGAGAGCAAACTGGTCTGTCACATTGAGTGCTTTGTGCTGGCAGCCTTATCAAATGTGCTTGATTGGACCACATTCCCCCGGATTCTCGCTTGCTTGATCTGTGCATAAGCTGCACTAGCCGGATTTGCCATTTGTGCAAATGCGATCCGGACCTAGGAAGCACTATTGCTGCGAAAAAGAAGGCAAAGGCTGTGCAAGACTTAGATCTAAGAGACTGGAACTGAGGCAACTGGGAAACGAGGCATGTTTCAACTTTCTGTTCGATTGTTCAAGGCTATGACTGCAACGCTGGCCTTGCCAACTGGGACAGGCGCTAAAACTACGCCTGGCCGATTGGTGTTTGTGTGTAGGTCACACATCTAAATCCTTCTACCTTTTTTCACCTGTCCAATGATTGATACATGAAAGGCAACATCCTCCAGGACGACCCCAAGTGCTGGAGATTCAGCAGCATAGCTTATTGAAAACTCGCAGGGGCTGGTCGGACAAGAAGAAGGCGTACTGCTGCAAAGAAGAGAAGAAGGCCTCGCGACAATTGAATCCAGAATCGCACAAGTTCGCCGATTATACGCATTGACCTTGCAGCACTATTGCAGGCATGCTACTCTTGCTTGGACGTCTCTGGCATGTCCAAGTGGTCAACAGAACAGAAAGGGTGCCCCTGGGTCGCCTGAGATGAAGGTTGTGGACTGTTTCTATAAGGGCTTTCATATTGGATCAGTGAACAGCTTGTAAGCGGGGTCACAATCCTTCCTGGCTCAGGGCTTATTGCCTTGAAAGCGAACAGCGCCGGAGCATTCCCAAAGGTAAAGCGTCAACATAGTGGATCCAAAGGGACAATTTGTTGGGTTTCAATCTCTGGGGCCGGGAGACTGGTGACACGAAAATGCACGCCCCGAAAAACCAGAACAGTCCTGGAACTGTGCTGGAACCTTTCGCTGTTGGGTTGCAAAGCTGGGGAAATGTGATTGTGCAGTATAGGAATACATGGAAGGAAGGCAAGTAGGACTGTAGGAAAGAAAGGAGGAAAGGTGAGACTAAAGACCCTAAAGTTGACAAAGATGATTGAGAGATATTAAGAGAGAGTCTGAGTAGGACTGCGGACTGCGAGCAAAGCGAAACACAGAGAGACAATGAAGGCCTGGAGAAAGGAAAAACATGGAACGACATGAGACTAACGGAGACTTAATGAAATTGAAGGGACTGCCAGGGACTGTCAAGAGAGGTAGTTCACTAGGATGCACTCAGTGGCAGCACATCGCACACTGATGCAATGCCGCACAGACTCTTCCATCTTTGGCCAGAAGAGCGATCACCCCAAGACGTTTCCAACTCATTCCCACCTTTGTTTGAAAGAGGATGTTCTGCAATTTCTTTTTGCTGTATCCAGTAGAGGGATGTTCTCAGAAGCTCTTGCCCGATCGAGAGCATTTTCCTTTCCGTCTTGTTTGGGAAGCACATATAATTGTGTTGAAATGATCCAAATAGACGAGGAATATGAAGATGAGGCTGCCACGTTCTGATGAATTCAATCCCTTCAGTCTTGGGACTTGTTGAGCCAGGCAGTGTTGGTTTGTTTAACGAGCGAAGGTATTGTTGCAGCACGCAGAATGTGGCCTGCCACAATTGCACTGGAGATGTGTTTGCCTCAATGAGTGGACATTTGAGTTGACCTCTTCTTTGATTTTCTCTGTCGACTTAGCCACAACAGAGCCTTGCTTCGACTTTCCTAATGTGACTCTGTGGGAGTTCTACCATTTGCCTTAGCTAAGGTGAGACTGTTCCTCGGTGACAAGCGGGACTGATAGCCATTGATAGCTTGCATTGATCCGTGTGACAGACAATGCACAAGTTCTCAGCACAGCCGCACGGCTTGGGACATGTTCTCCGTCAGGAGTGGTGCTGCAAGAACGAAGGACGCTGCCCTCCTGAGTGATAGGCTGAGTTGGAAGTGTCAACTTCGTTCCAATGTGAACAGCACTCCGTGCCTCTTCCCTGCCTGTTCTCTGCCTTTTCCCTGCCTTTGCAGAAGGAGCCTGGCCTACCATTTTTGTGGATTCCATCAAGACCCGAGGCGAATCGCCTTTCATCCCATCTGAGGCTAACACTCTCCTCCACTTCGTCAACCACCAATTGCCCAGATGCCATTGATTCGTCCGGAGTCACAGGGTTTTGATGTTTTTTGCTGTAGAGTCAGTAGACTTTAGATTCTTCCTCAAATCATCTTAGAGCAGTCTCATTTTTAGCCGTTGTGCAGGGATGACCCCGCCTACTGCGTCGGGACCCCAACGGTCACGTCGGGAGTCAGGGCAGGACTGGTTTCCGACCAACGTGACCGTGACGTGACGCCGTCGTGACGTCGTGGTGACGGTTGCCCTTGTGACCCGCGGCACTTAGAACACACCCATCGGCACTTGGCCTGAAGAGAAGCGCGCCAGGGCCCAAGGCAACTACATGCAACTACCATTGACACGAATCATTCACATTATATGTATATATATAAATATTATACACATACATATATGACATTTAGATATAATATAAATATAACTTTAAACTTTAATGTCATATCCAAGCAATGTATGGCAATTTGGGAGGCCTCTCCAATTGAAAGTTAATTTGAATTTCTTTCTGAAGTTCTTGGCAGGAAAGGTCTCACCAAGGGTCTCTATTCGACAGAGTAGGAGTAAAAACTGGTTGATTTAGATCAAACTCATTGCAGCGGCAACAGCTTAATTGATTCAAACCTGCACTTCTTTCGAGCGTCTAAGGAATTCTGCTGCAAACACTTCAAGAGAGGATGTCCTGACAAGAAATTTGACTGCACACATCTCAGCAGAGTGACAGGAGTGACAGGGGTCTCACTTCTCTTGTAAGCCTAGATGCCATGCAGTGGCCTTCCAAACATAGAAAGACAGTGAGTTGGGACCAGTGGGACCAGTCGGACCAGTCGGACCAGTTGGCCAATGCCGAGTTTCCAGGTGATGAGGACCTCAAGAATCACGAGTGGGCATGGTCTGAAAAAAAGAAGGCCCTGAGACAATGGGAGATGGGCAGGTGAGGAAATTTCCTGTCATTTCCTTTTTTTTCTTCTCCCAGGTACTTGGAAAAGTATGAAAAAGTGGGTTCAGACATGTTCAGACCGAACAAAGACAAAGCCAAGTATGACTAGTACAGAAAGAATGCCTGGAATGGTGATTGTTTCAATTTAACTCCAAGATGTTGATTAAGCTTTGCAGAATGAATCAATGAATCGCATGCTGCCTTGAGGAGTGGTGCTGCGACGAGGAGAAAAAAGGTTGTCCTCCACCCATCAACTGCCATACTGTACTTAGCTCAGCAAATTGGACCACGATCCTCATGATGTGAACTTTTCATGATGAAACAGGCAGAAAAAAGGGTAAACCAACCCTTCATATGCACTTGCACCGGCAACTTGCACCCGTATGTCTTTTAAGGGTTTGAGACGTTGCCAGTGTGAAGTTGGCTGAGTCGCCAACCTCATGGACGCTTAAGAAACGGCACTATTGCTGCAGGGAACCCAGGGCTGGCGGCATTTGTTGATTTGGAAACCAGCTTTGACTTATCAGGTGAAGGGTTTTCATATGTTTTCATGAGCAGCGTCATGCAGCGTCAAAGGAAATCCAACACACCCTGCATGTTTGACTTAAGAGACCGTGGTAGCTCGACAGTTTAAGGCCGTAGCTTTGCCGGGTTTCACTCAGGTACAATGCACCACATTGGCTGCGATCTCTACCACTGCCGAGATGGAGCAGCTCATCTCAGTCATGTTCAAATTTTCAGATTGCCTTCAAAGTTGAAGTACCAGCATTGTGTATATTATATGTATGTAAAGAATTGTAAATATAGATTGCATATATTGTACACATCTTCAGATATGGTTTTGAAGTGGAACTCTCACTTTTTTGTTTTTTTCCTCATGTGGTGCTCAAACCCCTAAGACTTCGCCACACACCTGGTCGGCAGAGCGACAGCACTGGTGCTGCATGTGGCTTGGATGCACAGATTCTTGGCTTTACAATGTTTTACATGGCTTTATAGTTTTGATTAGTTTTGATACCCGGTATGTTTTGATCGTTTTGATCCCATGCACTTCTGGTGAACCTGTTGCTGGCACATTTGGTGTGCCTTGACAGGCACGAAGACATCGGTTGTCCGTTTGTGCCTCAGATCCTGAGTCACCTGAGTCGACTTGATGAACCTTGATGCTGCCAAGGGTAGAAAAGAAGCCACTTTACCCGCTTGGGGCCTATACAAACCTTGCTTTGACACGCAGACAAATCCTTTGAGATCAGTCAAGTGATGCAGCAATGCGTGTACAATATGACTTCAATCATCTTATCTCTACTTTTAAATCATCCTTTTTTGGGATGTGCAAGAAAGCAACCAGTGCAGCTCCAGGTATGACTGCCTTAGAGACGTTTCCAGATGGCGCGAACGTTGGCAGGTGGCTTAGTACAGCCCTGGCAAAAGGCTCCGTAGGGTTTCGAAAAATGACCCACATCCATCCATATCCTCTTTTCCTGTGCTTCCCAAGTTGGATTTGGATTGGAAGAGAGCAAAAGCACGGATTACTATCCTGATCAGACGCTGTGGGTCTCAGCCCCCTTCTCTCAACCAAGGCACCATGCTAAGAAAGAGTACTGCTGTGCCAGCCTCGGGCCCTCGGGAGCTGAAACGCAGCCTTGTTCTCCATAGATCTTTGACAAACTGCAAGCTCCCCAACAAGCGGCCGCAAACCGCAAATGTTTTGGGGAGTACCCTTCATTCCTATCCATGTCTTGGGAATCTCACGTACCATCTTTTCCCAGAAGGGGTGTTTAGATTCCTGTGGTTTTTGATGTAAAGCCTGTCAGTATGTGCATTCCATTTCATGCAATGGTTAGCCGTTTATGGTTTAGCTTTGAACTGTCAGCCAGATCTAGGTCCATTATGGCCTTTGCTCAGGTAAAAAAATTGACATCGGATGTGAGGATCATGGGCCTGTTGCTGAGAACTGCTTACAGAGCTTACAGAATAAAACTGAGACTTTTCCAAGCAATAATTTGGCACTGACAATATGCTGATCGATGCTGATACTTTTTGTATCTTTTTGTGTTTGAGTTGTCTCCAGATCAGGCCAGGGCCTGAAGGCGGTGGTAGCTTGGGCGGTTTTGAGCTTAGCATCTGACAACGGCTTGGTTGGTACTGGCAACACACCATGCCAGATATGTTGGAGAAATACCAATTTGCACACCCACACAGGGACACATGCACAATGTCACTATGCCTGTACACGCACCGTGATCGTAAGCATCACCCTCCCTGTTGACTGACGAGATTTGCTGTGCCGAGGTTGCAGCGCTACTTGCAACTGGGACTCCCAAAGCTTCACATGTGCTGAGCGCATCAAATATGTTCTGCTCTTGGCTTGCTATGTCAATGAACGACCAACTGGATAGCGTGAAGATGTTTGGAGTATCTTCAGACAGGGTAGATGTTGAAGGATTCCTTGTGCGTGCCATGACAGCAGCAGACGAGAATGCTATTGTGGTTGAGCCAAGGCGGCGTCACACCGATTTGCCAATCAACAACATGCTTGTGCGGGGATGCATAGCCAGCATAGCCATGGGCTGCCAAGTTGCTTCAGCTCAAGAAACATCGTTGCTTCAGCTCAAGCTTGCAAGCCAGATCAATTCTTCGATGTAAGAGCCTTGCCCTTGCCACCACTCTCGGGTCTTTCAGTCGCTTGCAATAGAATTTCAATAGAAAGCTTTGAAAGCTTTGATTTAGGTGGCCGCTCATCACTTGGTTGCTGGTGAATGCGATCATTGTCTGCCGTGGCATGTTTCGCTTCGAGCAAAGACTGGACCCAATGCGATTGCAGCCAGGTGGGCAGTGCACTGTGGAGATGTCCGGTTGCGGGAGGCTCAGTCGGCAGGCCGATTGGTCCAATTCTCGCATGTCAAGGGTAAGTAGGTGTTTAAGCAGCATTGCGCGTTGCCAGAGTTTGAGGGCTGTTCGGTTTTTCTTTTTGCCAAAGTTTACCCCAATAGGCAGCCCCTCCACCATCTTCGCCTGCTTGTGTCTCTAAGTCTCAGGCTATGTTTTTTGGCACGGAGAAACACATCACCAAATCACGAAGCACATAGAGACAACGGTGGTGTGTGGACGCCAAGTTCAGCTGTGTTTCTGATGGAAAGAGACCGGAGATAGAGATTTATAAAGATTATCGACAAATTATTGAAGATTAATAACATTTAATAAAATTTAATAAAGATCAAGAGTGAGAGGATGTGAGAGGTCCAGACCTGGCCTGTGCTAGGCATGGGGTCTCTCAGTTTGACTGCTGGGGCCTGAGCTGATTCGAAGACATCCAGTCTGATGCTTGATGACTTGGGCCAGTACCTCGCTTAGGCCTACGTTTTGGCTCGCTTAGGCCTACGTCACAGATACATGCGTATATTTGCAATAGAACAATATATCGTTATATCCAAACATGATTTCAACAGACTTGCACACGTGGATTTAAAGATGATCATCGGGACATTCTGATTAAGTCATATACTGATACTTACAAATGCATTCTATGCTCACTATCTATCTATTAAATATAGAGTATTCGTCCGAACTGACTAGTCAGTAACAGGCGCCAGCTCATCAACACCAGCATCACCATCCATCACCATCCATCACCATCCATCACCATCCATCACCATCCATCACCATCCATCACCATCCATCACCATCCATCACCATCCATCACCATCATCATGATCATCATCCTTATCGTCTTCTTCTCCATCATAATCACACCTATCATCATGTTCAGCACCAAATCCATCACCTACTTTACTATTCGTTCTCACATCAAACATCAAGTCCATCACAAAAATCATCACAATTATTACCATCCTCACATCCACCATCAATATCATCATCCTACATATTTGTGTAGCCAAAGGGCTCCAATATGAGGTGGGTCGTGTCCTGTACCTCTAGTTGTCCCCACTGTCCCCAGTCCCCATTTCCCCCCTAAATATAAACCCTAAAGGTTTGAATCCACATCAAAGATTGTCGGGCTAAGTGATCCAAAAAGTCGTCCGAAGTGATCCTTGGACCCTGCAAGATGTGCAGCGTGGATTAGCTGATTGGCGTCATGGATTGGGCCAAATTATGCCAAGTTCCGTCAAGTTCCTCTCTGGAACCTGGAAAGTCGATGAAAGTCGTAGAGTCTTAGGCATTAATTTCCGCAAAGGGGTAGCCCATTCCAGCAGAATACCTTTCTCCCTGGCTACGAAAGCGTCGGGCTTCGTTGATTGTTTACACGGTCTTCATCATGTATGATCAACCTGCCTGTTTGAATTACTTGTTCGCCGTCAGGAATTTATGTATCTATATAGTTTTTCGGTAATTCCCATAAAGCTAGATAGCCATGTTGTGTGAGAACACTACGTAAGACAGCAAAGAATGGATACCGAAGTTTCGTCACTGGCACTTTCCTTTACAAGCAGCATGTAATGCGTTTTGGGAGCTCTCCGCAATGAACGACTCTGGCAATTGTGGCTTCAAAATCATCGAATACTTTCCATGACATTAATTTCAGATTTTCCTGTAATATCCTCTTTGACCCAATGCAATCATCAAACACTTGCGGCTTGAAGCTACAAACCTGCGCAGTAGCTCCACACTGAGGCAACGTTGATTTCACAGAGTGGGAGATCGCTGTGTGCTTAGACTTTCCATTTACACAGGCCACATGAAAAACGACTATACAATGACTATACAATGACTATACAATGACTATACAGTCTCAGTCTCTCCGTTGTTCCCGTTGTTCCCGTCTTCCTATTCTCTTTGCCCGTTGGGCTTCTGGACTTCGACCATCACCCTGGGCTGAGAAATGGGATGCGCGCAAGAAGGAATTATGCTGCAAGCTGGCGCCTAAGATCTTTCGACCTTTGCCTCAGATGTTTCCGACGAGTCATTTGACCTGGGATATAACTGGGATATAACCGATACAATATGATATGTATTATAGTATAGTATAGTATATATATATTATATTTATTTCGGAGTGTTTCACATGAACACCGAATTTCACCCGGACGATGTTCTTGGGAGTTTCTCAGCTCTGAGGCGCGAGAAGAAAGCTTGCGCTCGATATCAGTGCGACTTGGGTGACCTGGCAGCAGCGCCGGAATCAGCCCAGGTGCCACGGTGCCACCATGTCTTTCGTCATCTTTCCCCACTTTTGAATACTTTAGCCACTTTACATGAAAAACATGAAGAAACAAATTGGACGTGGCTTCAAGACCAAAGAGCATTGGATCTTGACCAGTCATCGCCATTCGCCTCGTGGGAAACACTGTGCGCTGAGACTTGGTGAACTTCAAGCTTCATTGGGGAACGCCAAAGAAGGTCTGGTGCTGCGAGTCCGAAGCCACAGTGAAAGTGCATCAATTGCATCAATGACACACAGATCATTTTGCCTTGCATATGGCCATGAATTGTCATCTCCAAGAAAGAGGGTCACGGATCCTTCACAGTGCATTACAATGCTCTACAGTGCTATCCTTTGAGCCAGGTCAGAGTGAAACATCACAGGGTAGTGCTGGGTAGCGATAGTGGATGCAAACAATTCTTGACATCCAAAGTGTGGCAGCCTCTGCTCATTTTCAATCCCATTTTGCACTGAGGCACGAACACCTTGGCTGCGAACCAGGCTTGCAGTGGTTTGCCACTGGGCTTTCAAGCAAGCTATGTCCAAGTTCACCCGCTCAAGCTTGAATACCTTTGCAAAAGCTGCACATGTGTTCTAAATAGCCCTTGTTCTCCCTAGAATGTGAAGTTTTCATCTTCACAAATATCCTTTCAACAGGTGCACGGTTAGCACCAAAACTATTTCGCTTGTTCATAAAGCCTGCCTGATGTAACTTCGACTACCATGTCACTGCAAAATAATGTTAATTGGGCCCGTCAATGTTCCTTTCAACAGCCCATTGAGACCAGACTTGAGTCACTTTGGTTACTTTGGTTGCCCCAAATTTGAAGGGTCATTTTGGTTGTGCAGCGCCCCAAGGACTGCACTGAACAGGCGGAGCATTGGGTCCCACACTTAGACCAGGACGCGTCTTCTGATTTTGAAATCTGACCCCTCAATGTGCACCCCGAATCTGCCAGCACACGATTTGGCGCTAAGTGTGAAGCCACTGGGCTAAGGAGCATGTTTGGAAACCTGAGAAGAAGACTTGGTGTTGCGCGCTGGGTCCTTTGTGCTGTGAAACATGGAAATGATCTAAAACAGTCAGCAAGAGCGTCTACAGTTTGACTCCTGAGTTCCGTGCCAAATCATTCAGCACTTTTTCTAGATTCGAAACCAGGATTTTTGTTACAGCGCTCAACTGTTGAGCTCACCTTCGCACTGCAGCACCGCTTATAGTCATAGAGATACGCTTCTGTTTCAGAGCAAGCTGATTGCGTCGAATAATTCTCACATCAAGCAGAATCCAACCACATTTGACGGCATCTCATTGACTGACACTTCCAACATTTGACTCCATGTTAGGCATGAGCAGAAAGGATGTCCTGGATGGAAGTGGCATCCACCAATACCCGTTGCAAGCAGCATGCCAGAAGGCCGCCATTGGAAATGCCCAGGGACCTAGGGATGGTGGATGATGGTGGGATTGGTTCACCGATGGAGCTCGCCAGGAGTCGTGCATGTGACCCACACCACCTACACTACGCATCATGTGCATCATGGTGGACATTGGGCCGCTGGGCCTGATCCGAATTCAATAATTTTCATCTTATTTAATCTGGTTGTCACGGTTGTCCAATCTGGTAAAGCCGGCAATGGAACATTTGCATGTGTAGTTAATTTGTAGTTAGTTCTCGCATTCAGAATGAAACAGAGTGAAACAGAACGAAACATGCGGATTTTCCATTGGTTGATCAGGAATGTAGACGTGCACGGGTGCCTGTGTCCACTCTCTCTCTCTCTCTCTCTAAGGATGTGGGCTTTGGCAATTCCTGGCATCATGGAGGTGAATGGCATCAAGGGCATCACCCGGCAGTGGAAGAGCATACCACGCATCATACCGAGCATCATGAATTTCACACTGAGCAGAAAGACCTGCCGTGTCCTCAGTTTAGTTATGGTTAGTCAACTCTTGATTTTCTTGAGTCTGAAGTTACTGAAGTTTTAGAGTTCCAAAGCTGGAAGGGCAGCAGAGTTCACAGATATACAAATATCAAGTTCAGTATGGTTCGAGGGGGTAGTCACCCGTCCGATCTAAGGGGACAGCGCTTCCACTGTCACGCTGCCTTAACAAATTGGGTGCAGCCCTCGTGGAGACAGTCGAGACATGTCGAGACAACTGCAGCTGCAACAGCTGCAACAGCCTTTTGTTCCAAGCCACGCTTGAGACTTCAGGAAGATGCGTGGTCGCCAGCGAAAAAGACTTGGCACTGGCCTCAGAGCAAGACTTCAAAAGAAAAGTCACTTTGCCGCCTGAATTCGAAGTGGTTTAAAAACGGTTTAAGGTGTTGGAAGCACTATAAGCTTGGTTACCGCTTGGCCTACAACTGTCACATCGGAGAGGTGGGCCAGCTGAAGTCAGCTAACCCCAAACATGAAATTATGTAATTAGACAAATTTGAATCTGATACGATTAAAGAAACAACCTGTAAATATATGCAAATTGCAAAGTCTCTGTTCAAATCAACAATGTACATAAGTACAGAACGAATTCATTCACAGTGAACCGCAAACATTGGAAAGCACTCCAGAGCTATAGAATCAAACAACGCTGCATTGAGCATGTCGCTTCTGTCACTTTGCACCTTTGCGTAAGAGACTCTGGCGGTAGAGCAAAAAACGCCTGCACATGTTTTTTTCGAAATGGCTTGGGTCAAAATCTTAGTACCTGGGTAGACAGACGGTAGACACATTTAGAAATCGGAAAATGAACAGAAACAGATAAGCCACATTGGCCACATTGGCCTCCAGGCCTCCTCTTGGAGCGATGCCAAGAACAACTGGCTGCGAACTCAGCGACTCTGGCGAGGTCTCAACGTGTGGAAAATGGAGACCTCAGCACAGTTGTGCCATGTGCCCGATTTTCAAGTTTCATCATGATCAACGCAAAATATGCAATGCACAATGTTTTGATGCTAATCATACTGAATCATACTGGTTCAGAGGTAACACGGTAGCATGACTCACGACAATGATTCTGCGTCCACAGTCTGTTTGCCATGTCATGAAACATCTTTGTTTGTCAGGTGCTGTTCACAGATGAACGTTTGCCATACCCATCAACGTCACTTCCGCTTTGACTGCAACGCTGTCGGAGGGCCTGGATAGGCTGAAGGAGTTGAAGGAAGGATTGGATTGGAATCATTGGAATCAGTGGACAATTTGGATAGGTTTTTATACACCATTTTTTTTTGCCCAAACTCTTCCGCCTGAGGGCCATCGGCCATCCACATCATTTTAGCACCAAATGCAGTAGTTACTCAGTACTGGTAGATACTCACTCAGTAGTTGATAGTTGCACATGTTGAACGCTGTTTCTGGACTGTGACGACAGCACAGCTCTATGTGGCAGCTCATCTATGTAGATCTAAGAATCGTAGTGTAGCTGAGGCCCTGGGCAATTGGGTCTGGTCCTTGACAAGCCTTTACAAGCCTTGACCTGTTTGTTGAAACATGTTGAACCAATTGGCAGTATCATGCAGTCTCAAGCAGCATTGTCTGCAGTCTATGCAGTTGTAGCTTTGTTGAGGGGGCTGACCTTTGAGTCTAACTGGTGCATTTCACACACACACAGGAAAAAGCCTGGAGTCCAAGCAAGAAGACTTGGCCTGGGATCTAAGTTCCAGTCGTGTCCGTGGTCTGGGTGATGGCAGGTATAGACAGGGTAGATGTGTGGAACATGGCAAGGGCTCTCATCATGACAGTTGAAATAGTCCTGAGAGAGGTACGACGAGCTAAAAGTTGATGTATTGTCTCATGTTTGTTTCCACTTCTTGGGAGCAGTCGAGTTCCGCGACATTTGTTTAGGGAAGGTTCCGCCATTCCAACCCCCTCAAAGCCAGGTGCTGGGAAAACGAGCAGAAGGGTGGACCACCAGCAGCACCAACGGCAGCACCAACGGCAGCACCTGCAGTACCTGCAGTGCCAGAAGTTTCGGGTGAAAATGCATGGGGAGCTGGAGGCCAGATTTGGCTTCAGCAAGAGCAGGTCTTAAGATCTTCGAAGAAAGTTTTTGTTTTTTTCTTGAATATGTCTTTTGTCTCAATTGCTGGCTCAGAGCCTGAGTCAGCACCACAGTGCCCACGCTGCACCTCTCTTTGCAGGCATGATCCCTGAGGGCTTTGGTATCCCTGAGGGCTTTCGTGGTGACTTGGGTAGCCGCAGTTCACATCACGGCAGGGGTTCCAAGCAAATGGGCAATCGGGCACCGAGGATTAAAAAAACAGTGGCCTTCATCTGTAAATGCGACAGTATGACTCTTTGACAGTTGGACTCCACTTGCCAGAGGTCACCTTTTCGACTGCCAAGCAGCGCTTGGAAACTGGGCCTGTGACCCAGTTTTCACACGGCGAAATGCTCGTGGCATTTCTGGTGTCCGAGACAGGAAAATGCCTGGAGTATGGCAAAAAAGGGATGGCCTTCAACTCAGTTCCACACAGCATGGAGCATAGCAGAACAGCGCCAATAGCTATCTCTGTTGATGTTGTCATGGGCATAGTCGTCCTGCAGCTACCACCTTGTGCAGGCCAAAAGGTTTTCCAATGTTTTCCAGATTTGGCCCGATTCTGCCTGAGTGGCTGTGTGCAATTTGCCGCTTGAGGTGTTGGAGACGGGAAAAGAAGGGTGGTCCAGAGCCGTTCAACTGCTACACAGATGTCTGGTACATAGCATTCAAATTCTGGAAGCAGGAAGCTGATATCATCCCAATCCCCTGACTTTCCAGGTGATCTGCATAGTCATTTTAGAACTGTTTCATGAACAAATATATCTGTCTCCATCTGTCTATTACTACACTGCTTGTGAATGTTCCCGGGCACTCTCTGATGCGTTTTTTGTTGTTCACGGATGGTCGCTTTGTCTATAGCCGGGGCATGCTGGAGTAAGCATTAAAGCACTATCCAAGTCACTTCGCACATCCCAGCTTGCTCACGAACACTAGAGACGGTAGAACAACTTGCCCATATTCCTTTTGTTTTGAATGCTTGCACCTGAGGTTCTTGGTTGGACCGAAAAAAAGAAGTCCTGGTCAAGGGCTAAGGGCACCATGTCCTTTACGCTTCAGTACCATATTTGGTCCATCCCTGCTGCGCTTTCGCATGTTGGAAGGTGCTGTGAACAACACAGACACACGTGCCCAGAGCGGCGGTTGTGCGGGCCACAGCTTACACACCCATGTTCCTGGCCAAGGGGCAGACGTGCTTTACTCAGCTGCTCACTGGTGATTCATCATGGTGCCGCAGGTCAGAGAAAATGACAGACATCTTCACGTAGTTCATGCAGGGAACTCAGTTGAAAAAATCCTGGCAACGCTGGCTCCAGTCTTTGTGCACTTGGTATAGAGCTCGAAGAAACCATGAGAGTGCTCAAAACGACTCTGTATTGTTTGCATTAGTCAATCTGCCTCATCGCGCAAACTCGTCTGATCTGTGCCCAATGGATTCAATCTGATTCAACAATATCATAATTTCATTTCAGTGAATCAAAGCAGTTTCCCAGATTTTCAACTTCTGCCAAGTCCTCTCTGAGCTGCGCGAATCGCCAGTTTTAAACATGGCAATGGCAGTCCGGGCCATGGTCAACTCGCGGGACACGCCTGGATTAAAAGGATCCGGGGCTTAGTGACTTGCGATGTCCAAGAATCGCAGATTCTGAGTGAGCAAAAGCCAGATCTTGATATATCATGATGCTCGTCATGCATTTTCCCCTCCACATTTGTCCCTTCAAACATGATTCACTGAAATCAGGATGTCCCCGTATTCAATTGAACAAGTCAGCTTTTTATGCACACTCCAATCACGCTCTGGTCTTTGGTATTGGTCTTGGATCTTTGTCGCAGGTATCCACATGGTTTTTTAGTGCACATCGAAGCAGATTGTGTTGCTCTTGGACATCGCCTGAAAATGACGATGATCCTTTGCAGAAGGCCAAAGAGCTCTGAAAGGATCAAGATGCACCTAGTGCCGAAGTTGGCAATATTCATTTGTGCTACAAGCCAGACCCAGTTTAGTTCTTGGGGGATTACGGCAAGCTCCTTGATCAGATAAGCGATAATTTCACAAATATGCCACCTTCATTCATGGCACTTCTGACGACTAGTGAAAGGCGAGCCCTGAATTTGAGCTAGCTCGAGGGTACTTGCCATAAAAGCAGTTTGGAATGCAGTTTGGTGTTGGGATTGAGAGGAGTGCATCAACCCTTGCATTCACCAGTGCTTGATCGTATCCTTATCTTTGGTAATTTCCAGACTCAATCAGCACCTCCAAGAAGGTGCTTGGCTCAAGCACTCAAGATCATACCAATTCAGTAGATGCAGTGTCTTGATGTGTTTTGATGCAAGTGACAGATGCAAAAGCAAACAGCTTGACCTCCCTGCGACCCTTGAGTACCCTGAGAATCCAACTTCGTTGAATCTACTTCAAATTAATTATAAGAACAACAACAATAATAACAATAATCAACAATATATATATATATGTATGTATGTATGTAAAAATATATAATACACATAATATATCTGGTTTCATGTTTCAGTCTCTGTATGTTCGCATAGAATAGTTCCTCTGAGAGATGGTGGAACCCTGCGTTGGTGGCCTCAGCACAAAATGATCGGGCACAAATTGCCTTACTCCATGCCACGGCGATTCTGTGGACGGCTCCGTACCTGTAACTTTGAGGCGAGACCGTACTCTGCACAAGTCCGCAGGCTGGTCCCTTAAAGTCATAAAAGGTCATATACTCATGGCAAATTCATGGTAAATCCATGGTAAAGCTGTAAAAAACCAAAGCTTGAGAACTACACTGAGGTTTGATGCTGAGGCGTCAAAGCGTACATCTTCCGCGGTGCGACCGCTGTCGGCTAGGCGGACCTTCCGCATTTTCCGTCCGTTCAAATAGAGGTGTTTTATGTAAAACATTGTAAAACACATTTGGTGTTAGAAACATAGCCAAAAGTCAGTGCGGAAGCATTACCTCAATTATAGTCAGACCATACATCTACTATCCTTTCTGCAGTTTTCTTTGCGGAGTGGAGGCTTGAAGGTTGGTCCGCTCCTTCGAAAAACTCTGGCATCGCAGAGGCAGTCAAGTTGCAGTCAGCTGCTTCAAGAATTTCCGAAAAATTGAGATATTAGAGATTCGGCTCTGTCATACACTCTACAAATATATATATGTATAATGTATACATGATTATACATGCACATGCATATAACATCATATGGGGACCCATATAAACAACTAAAAGCACATCATGTCAGAAAAGACGGTCACAGTGAGATTTTTCATCTCGGTGTCCCTCGGTGGCCAGGTCTTGGCCACCAGCTGTCGGGAGCTGAAAGCAGAATTACCACCAGAGCTGCGATGCCCCGAGGTGAAACCAGTGGATCGATGGTGTTTCGCCAAAGACCAAGGGTCAAGAATCAACAGTCAAAAAAGTCTGAATCCATATTTGGCAGAAGTAGTTGACATAATGATATAATATGATGATATATGATGATTTAATGATGAAGCGATGATATATGACATGTATATACATGTATCATATACATCGAAAAATGGAGTTTCCAGGTCGAGGATTATCCCAGATGCATGTGAGTGATGTTGAGATGGAAATTGCTCCTGGAGGCAGCGATTCTCCAGTTGGCACCTGGCACAAAGTTGCGGAACTGCAGGCGAGTTTTTTTTGTCAGTGCCAAGGATCTCTTGGAGTTGTATATAAATCTTAGCATGGATTAGCTAAGATAATTTGATGATTTTGCTAACATTTGTTAAGATTGTATATATGGGGGTTTCCTGTCAAAATGGGGCTACCCCTAAATCATCCATTTCAATAGGGGTTTCCATTATAAATCATCCATTTTGGTGTACCCCATTTTAGGAAACACCCACATATATATAATATAATATATATACATATGTAATATAATAGAATATATATACATATATATATATAATATATATATATATATTATATTATATTATATTATATTATATTATATTATATATACTATATATAATATATATTATAAGTTATATATATATCATATATTATATACATTATATATTATATATTATAAATTATATATATATTATATTATATATATATTGTATATATAATATATATAAAATATATTATATATTATATATTATATATATTGTATATTATATATATTGTATATTATATATAATATATATTATATATATTATATATTATATATATTATATATATTATACATATTTTATATATTTTATATATTATATATTATATATATTATCTATATATTAATATATATATATATTATATATTATATATATATTATATATATATTATATATTATATATATTATATATATATTATATATTATATATATATATATATTATATATATTATATATTATATATATTATATATTATATATATTATATATATTATATATATTATATATATTATATATTATATATTATATATATTATAAATATTATATATATTATATACATTATATATATTATATATATTATATATATTATATATATTATATATATCATATATTATATATTATATATTATATATTATATATTATATATATTATATATATATATTATATTATATATATTATGTATATTATATATATTATATATATTATATATATTATATATATTATATATATTTTATATATACATTATATATATTATATATTATATATTATATATATTATATATATTATATATATATTATATATTTTATATATACATTATATATATTATATATATTATATTATATATATTATATATTATATATATTATATATTATATATATTATATATATTATATATATTATATAATTTATATATATATATATTATATTATATATCTGATAGTATATATAATAATAATATACATCTATAATATATATAATCATATATATTATATACAATCATATATACAATATATATATAATCATATATATAATCATATTTATATACACATAATTATATACATGTGTATACATATAATCATATATATATATGCATATATAATCACATATATATAATCATATATATATAATCATATATATATAATCATATATATATAATCATATATATATATACATCTATAATCATATATACATACATATTCATATATATATATATACACACTTATAATCATATATATGAATATATATATATACAGATACACACAAATAATAACTAGATATATAATCATATATATATAATCATATATATATAATCATATATATATAATCATATATATATAATCATATATATATAATCATATATATATAATCATATGTATATAATCATATAAATAATCATATGCATATATATATACATAATAATCAATATACTGATATGTGTATGTATATATATATGTACACATCTTATGTATATCAGATATTCCAAGATACTTTCAGCCAAGGCCTGAGGCTGATGTATCCTGTGCAGGTCTAACAGCTGCTGTTGGAGGTGGGTTGCCACGAGGTTGCTGGACGAGTAGCAACCTCGGAGATAGCGAGAACCAGAAGGACTTCAAGAGGACTTTGAGGTCTCCAGACATTTCTCAACTGTCGAGGTGCGTGTCTGCAACTGGCCGCGCAACAGAGATGCGTAGAGTACTGGAAGAGGCAGGGTTTCATCTAAGTTCGCAGATTGTGGTAGAAAAAGTGTCAGATTTTTTGAGAGTGAACACAAGTGTGTATATAGTCTGAAGTAGTGTATAGTTGTCAGCGACCCTCAGGAGCTGGGAGACTCGATCCTGCAGCAGTTCCTCAACTTAGAGACTGAGCATGAGGCAAGCAGTGACATCCCATTGTGACATACGCTCTATGTATTCTCCCTGTAGTCCAACGTGTTTCATTTGTTAATGATTCCAATGTAGCAGGGTAGAGCATTTTAGCCAGTGCCGTGGGACCATGTGTTTCGACTGAGAACAGAACACGTTCAGTTCGCGGCAGGTTTTGCAGGCCCGCCTTAACGAGGAAAGGCACGAACTGGGGACTGAACGAGCACTTCGCAGTAGCCTGGAGGACCCCCCTCCGGAGGATAACAAATGACCACCGGAGGACCACCAACTCCTGGAATGTTCCGAGAGTCGACAGAGTTGGCCGTTCACATCTTTTCGCGGGGGAACGTGCTGCAGTCTCTGCCATAGTTCTTGTCCTCGTGTGCTGCCATACACCTATTTGCTTTATGCAGCTGGCGTTCCAGTCAACAAAATGTGATGATTACCAAATTGCTGGTAGCACATTGCTACTACATTGCTACCATGGTCTATGTGAGACAATGGACTCTATTGCGGTATATTGCGGTACTTCCAAGACCACTGGCTCTTCAACCACCGTTGCAGGAACAGCTCGCTGATATGCAGGTGCAGCTGAAAGAGGCAGCTGAAAATGGTTCTGGGGTGCTGCTGACTTCCGTCAGCTTAGCGGGGAACACCTGGGCATTCAGAGCAGTGAGTCAATGATCGCAATAGACTCTGAAAGAAGCAACTGAAAGAAGCAAAATGAAACAAAGTAACTTGTGAAGTTGCATTGTGCGCCACTTTTTTTGAAACTGACAACTCCTTGGACCCCTGGCGAGGCCCAAGAGCATGCCGCCACCATGGACTCGGCAGCACGGCGTGCGATCTCCGCAAAGCACAAAGAGGAGGCAACCAAATCAACAAAATAATAAAGCAATGCTTGAAGCAATGCTTGATAATCTCCAATTTCTTTCTTTCTATCAGCAACACTAGCAACACTTGGAGCAACGCTTGAAGAATTCGGTGATAGAGGTCGTTGAATGGACATGCATCTCACCAGCAGTCACTGGCTAGTCCAGCAAACAACTTGGACAGGCTACAGTCAAAGATCTGCGTGAGGAACTTGAGAGACTGGTTTGGTCCTGAAATGGTTTCAATTTGTTGCTCTCAAGTTTGAGAACTTACCCAAGTCACTCACTAATCATGCTGATGCCCTGCTTGACCACTTTGCATTGCCCGAGATGAGAAACAGCCCCGAAGTGCTGCGACGCCGCACCGCCCAAGCGGAAGCTGAAGTGGAACGAATCCGCGCAGAAACAGAGGCGCCAGAATCTATGCTCCTGGAGTCCTGGAGGCTTAGATTCGCTTAGATATGTCAAACAGCACAGGGGTTGGTAACTGTCCCATTTTGGGTATATTGGACATCACCTTATAGTAGCCATTATAGACCATATACCTAATGGTTGGGTGATGTTCAATGGGGACATTTAATAACCCATGCAGCAGGATTTATGTATGGCATCTATGGCTGCACTGCCTTGGTCACTGCCATAATTGTGTCTCAACCCTCCACGAAGCTTTTTGGGGGCTTCCAATCTCAGACCATCTCAGCAATCTCAGCATTGAATGTTCACCGCCAGAAAATCACGGAGAAACACAAGAAAGACATGCTGGACGAACGAGATCAGAAGACAAAGCTCTTCATAAAGCTCAAAGAGCTGCAGGTCGAGCTCTGGAGTCTGGGAATTCGTGACTTTGGGCACGGACTCTATGGGAGTTATATCATGTTATATCATGTATCAGTATGTTATTTAAGGGCTGCCGCCCCTGCCGCCGACCCCGGAAGAAGTGGCAAGGAAGCAAAGCTGGCAGCTCGACCTTTTTGCTATGTACATCGTTGTGAAATATATTTGATAGATATTTGATAGGTTTGAATTTTCATGTGTAAATGGGTTTTTCATTTGAGCATGTTAATACTCTGATCTTATGGTTTTATGTGTTCATGGATCTAAGTAACTGTATAATAGTTATATATATACACAATATTTTTGGCCCTATTATTATACAGCTAATGTTGCGCCGCACAGGTAATGTGATTACCAGCTAATAGTGTCATGGACACCCAATCGCATTGGTCTACAAGAGACCACCGCAACGAAACAGTTGCGACATCGTTGCTATCTTCAACGGCGTCTTCGCCCATGCTGCCCGCACTTTGAAAATTCGCCCGTTCCTTTGCACAAGGACGGCCAACGAGAAGCAAACGCAAGATTGACGATGACCTATTTTCGAGCATGGACGTTGCAAGCACCTATGGCATCGGGAAATGTACCATTTGTCGGTCGTTTGAAAGCGGCAGCAGAAAGTTGGGTTGATGCGTTACGCATGTGGTTGACGCATCTCCCATGCGAAGACACAAAACACTACGTCGGTAACTTTCTTTCAGTGTACCGTGTACGCCCGAGCGGCGCAGAAGACGCAAACAGTGATGACAGTGGCATTGATGAGCCATTGCTCGTCACTGCGACTACACTTCCCACAGCACTACAAACATCTGTTCGAAAAACGGGACAACATCGAGCTACACGCACCACAGACCAACCAAAGGATGTTGACACCAAACTTCTTGCAAGTTACGAAGACGCGGCGGCGCGAGCTGCAACGACGTGGCAGCACAACTCCTACTGTGCGGCAAATGAAACTACACGCAATCCATTCGAAGCCCACGATCCGAAGGCGATCCGAAGAGGGTTGAAAGCATTAGAGCGCAAATGTAACAATACAAACGCAAAGACGGTCCACAACTCTCTGCCAAGCGCGTGTGAAATCGAAGCACGGGCAACAACACAGAAAATCGACCAATTTCGCCATGATCTAAGTCAGACAAAGCAGTGCAACCCAGAGCAGCTATGCTTCATTGAAACCGTTTGCGCGCGGATCAAGCACGAAGCAGCCACGGGGCAAGATCGCGGCGGCGCAGCCGAAACTAACACGGAGGCTCTTCGCTGGGCATTGCACGGCGGGCCAGGCACAGGCAAATCGTATGTGCTGAACATATTGCGCCGTGACTTGTTCGAAAAATGTCTTGGCTGGACTCCAGGCAAAGAATTTCAAGTTGTTGCGTTCCAAGCTGTCAATGCTGAACCCTTGGATGGTGAGACGATCCACAAAGCTCTCGGGCTGTCGTGGCACGGCAACGATCACAACGTTGCTGGCCAACGGATTCTCGATCTGGCGCGGCAAGCCGTGCAGTGGCGCTGGCTTCTTCTCGACGAAATCAGCATGGTGAGTGCTGAGATGTTAGCGCGTCTCGAAGCTCGCTGTCGGCAACTTGTTTTAGATCTATCTGCCACAAAATATGGCAAACATACCCCTAACTGCATTGCGCCCTTCGGTGGCCTCAATGTCATTCTCTCAGGCGACCTGTGGCAGCTACCTCCACCACGTGGAACGTTTCTCGGTCAAATTCCCTGGCACCTTGTGACAGGCGTCCCATCTAAGAAGTTGCCACTAAGCTTGCAAGGCCAGCAGATCGTATGGGCCTCCAGCGTACAAGGTGGCCTACACGGAGTTTCAGAACTAATACGGTGCGAACGAACGCAAGATGTCTGGTTGCAGGAGCTACAAGCCGAACTTCGCGTCGGACGCTTATCCGAAGACAACCATGCATTCCTACATGGCCGACCCACAAGAGTTCCGGGAAGCTGGTGCGCAACAACGCAGCAGCCTACCTGCGGAGAAAATGCATGCTATCGCTTGTACAAGCACGGTTCCACAGCGACGACGATTCTCAAGTACGAATGTCGAATCTGTCACGCTGAACGGGAGACTAAGCGTTTAGTTGCAGTGGATCCAGACGATCCTCGGTTTGCGGAGGGTTTTACCTTGGCCCGAGGAATTTTCCATACGAACGGGGTGAAGTGCCACGTAAACAAATTGCGCGCGGAACAATGGGCGCGACAGCGCGGGCAAGTCATTTACTACGCAGTGGCTATGGACAAAGTTTCATCGCGAGCTTTGCACGAGAAACCCGACATCGCCCACGACAAGCTCACGTGGCTGCAGCGCAGCGACGCCGACTGCGGCAACCGGTACGGCGTCCTTCCGCTGTGCGTTGGTATGCCAGTGCAAGCACGAGAGCATCTCTACCGAAAGGAGTTCAAGATTTTGAAAGGGTGCCATGGAACAGTCTGCGGGTGGTCTCGCGTTGAAACAGACACAGCGTCGGCAGACGGAGCCACAATTTGGAACAAACTTCCTGAATATATTTTTGTGCGTTTTGAAACACGAACACGCTGGACAATTCCAGGAATCGATCAAGAGAACGTCTTCCCGGTCAGCGTGCAAAGTGGAATGTGGTTTTTGGACGCGGGCCGCGCCAACCCACAATTGAAAGTGACTCGTTACCAGTTTCCAATCGCGCCCGACTTCGCCGACACGTTCTACGGCGCGCAAGGAAGCACAATAGAGCCGGGCGTGATCGTCGACATGATCGGTGCTGACCCAATAGCGGCGTACATTGGGATGACACGCTGCCGCACACGGCAGAAGATCTTGATCTACCGACCGTTCCCGCTGGCGCCTTTTCAAGAAGGCCTGCCGCTGGGACGGCAACTTCTGCTGGACGTGTGGAAGCAGGAGCCGGTGGACTGGGATGCGTTGCGCAAGAAGTACTTGGATGAAAGGCCGTGCCACGAGTGTGGGGAGATGAAACGCAAAGACGCTTTCACCAAAGCGCAGTGGAAACAGGAGACCTATCGGGTCTGCAAAGAATGCACCGCGCAGAAGCGCGAGGCAGGAACACCTTACCGATGCACCCAGTGTGGCCTGTGGCACGCCGCGGCACACTTTGCGTCAAAGCACCAAAACCCGCGATGGAGCATGTATCGCGTTTGTCTGTCGTGTGATGAAAAAAAGCAATGTTTTTTATGCCAGACAAAGAAGACGAAAAAATACTTCAGCCATGTAGCTTGGCAAACGCGAGATCCCAAACGTCGATTGTGTTTGCAATGCCAGACCAAGACCCGCGGCTCTTGGAAATGCGCGGTCTGCCACCAGCGGCGGTCGCGGCACCACTTTTCCTACTTTATTTCCAGGCGGCCCTCTGTAAAAGAGGATGGAACGCAGACTTGCGACACATGCCACGCTGCGAAGATGCAGCATGCAGTCCGCAAGCGCGCTGCTGCTTCCAGTACAGCCCGCCTAGAGCCTCTCCGGAAAAGACTTCGCCGCAGACAAATTATCCAGGAGACATGGGAAGCAATCGCCGCAAACAAGAAAGCACGCACACATGATCATTCGACAGATCCCGTGAAAATGCGCTCTGCTGACATGGCGTCGGCCGGCCGCTTGCAGGCAAGCAGTAGGGAAAAAACAGTTGCCGCGGCGCTGACGTGCGAAGAGAAAACCACAAATGAGGTTGCCACCGGTCAAAAAATGGATGCGGTCCATTCATCGACCCAGCCGCGTGCTGTAGGGCCCGACACAGCACCGCCACAACTGCACACATACATCTGCCCGTACTGTGCTAAGTCTGTACAAAGCCCCGTGGCAACAGGGCGCGTCGATCACCGCCGCAGTAAGGGCTGCGGCAAACAATTTCGCGTTGCCAATGGCCTGCTCGCAGGCCGCACATATTCGCATGCATGTCCAACATGCGGCACGGTGGTGCACTCAACACTGGCTTCCGGCCAAATTCGGGTAACGCATCGCAATCCCAGCGGCCGGCAGTGTCGCACCAACCAGTGGCGCGTGCAGACCTGATGAAGTTTCCAGCTTAAGGTTGCCACACAGCACGGCAATGCCCCACATTGCTTTCCCTAATGTAACTTCTGAAACCCATAGAAAAGGATGATTTTAGCTACTTTTTCCTCCTGCTGCTGCTGCTCCTGCTCTTGGTACTCCTTCTGTTCAAAAGACAAGAAAAGTAGCCGTCTTCGAGCTTTCCAAGCTCAGAAACGGCGCCTCCGCCACGCTCAAACAGCAGAGCCCTGAAGGACGGAAAAGCATCAAAATTGCGACCAAAAACTCCCTAATGTAACTTCTGAAACCCATAGAAAAGGATGATTTTTTAGCTACTTTTTCCTCCTGCTGCTGCTGCTGCTGCTCCTGCTCTTCCTACTCCTTCTGTTCAAAAGACAGCTCCCGAATGGGAATTTCCAAGCTCAGAACTGGCGGAGGCTCAAACAGCAGGGCCCTGAAGGACGGAAAAGCATCAAAATTGCGACCAAAAACTGCCTAATGTAACTGCCTACCCTGCTGCTGCTCCTGCTTTGCTACTTCTGTTCGAAAGACAAGAAAAGTAGCCGTCTTCTAGCTTTCCAAGCTCAGAAACGGCGCCTCCGCCACGCTCAAACAGCAGGGCCCTGAAGGACGGAAAAGCATCAAAATTGCGACCAAAAACTCCCTACTGTAACGTCTGAAACCCATAGAAAAGGATGATTTTTTAGCTACTTTTTCCTCCTGCTGCTGCTGCTCCTGCTCTTGCTACTCCTTCTGTTCAAAAGACAATTGCGACCAAAAACTGCCTAATGTAACTTCTGAAACCCATAGAAAAAGGATGATTTTTTAGCTACTTTTTCCTTCTGCTGCTGCTGCTCCTGCTCCTGCTGCTCCTTCTGTTCAAAAGACAGCTCCCGGATGGGAAAACACCATGGCAGTGAAGGACGGAAAAGCGTCAAAATTGCAACCAAAAACTCCCTAATTTCCAAGCTCAGAAACGGCGCCTCCGCCACGCTCAAACAGCAGGGCCCTGAAGGACGGAAAAGCATCAAAATTGCGACCAAAAACTGCCGAATGTAACTTCTGAAACCCATAGAAAAGGATGATTTTAGCTACCTTTTCCTCCTGCTGCTGCTGCTGCTCCTGCTCTTGCTACTTCTGTTCAAAAGACAAGAAAAGTAGCCATCTTCTAGCTTTCCAAGCT